AACTTGCCATTGTGGTCAATTTTTGAGATTAAGATTTTTTAAAAATTTTCAAAAATTTTTCATTTATCTTTTAAGGTATCTGCTAGTGCTTATTGATCCACCATCTATTGCTTTAAGTTGGGCCATTAAAAATATTTTAAACAGATCTTTGAACAAACACTCCATTAATACATCTGTTATTTGCAATAAAATACGTAGTTCATCAGGTACATAATTAAGTAATTCAATTGAAGTGAACAATGAAGGATTTTTCTTCCCTGATTATATAAATAAATTATTATATTTTATTTTCCATAAATAAGAAAAAAAACCACAAATATGATTTCACCTTTATTATTTCTGTAATTGGCCAAGAAAGATCCATATTATATCTGGTCTTGGAATTAAAGACTAGTGCTGTAATCCAAAAAAGGAAAAAGTATGGTTGCAGAAGTGGTCACAAAGGTAATTGCAACCACTTTTTATATGCCGTAAATACAATTACTACCATCTTCATAATTAATGGCACTAGTCTTTATTTGGTATTACACTCACAATATAAGCAGAAATATGTTGAATTTGGTGCATTTAAACTCATAATAATTGATGTAAATTTCCAATCATCAGAGAAGTAAAATTCAACTGGCCAGTGTATATTGTCATTATCAATAATACCATGAGCTTTAAGAGAAGTTATTTGTGAATCAAATATTTTACAAACTGTTGCTAATGTTTCATATTTTTCTTTGCCTATATAAAGACATATACTAACAATAAATTTAATAAATTGGATAATCTAATTTAGTTTCATTAGAAATAATATATATATACAGTATATATATATATAATGTACCTGAATTGATGTTCTGGTTTTAGTACTTCATTACCTTCATTTAATAAACAAAAAGTCAACAACACATAATTTTTTTTTCTTCCCACATTCCTGCCATCACCACTATACATGAAGTCGAAATTAAAACCCTAAAGTTGAAATGCTTCGACTTGAGGCAACTACATAGTAAAAATCAGTTTCGACCCTATTTCGACCAGATCTGCAAATGGTCAAAATAGTTTCGACTTCATGTATAATCACCACCAAGTTTTATACGAAGTGTATCACCTACAGTAATTACTGGTTTTTCACCTGATTTCCAAAATGGTATCAATACTTTAAGTAAAGTTGAAATGGAACAAAAAACTCCATTTCCTACTTCTACATCTTCAACCAAAATATTACTATTTATTTTATCAAAATCATCTTCTGTATATTGTTCACTTGATTCATTATTAGTATTGAATGTTTTTATATGAATCTGAGAATTTATAATTTCATTAATTTCATTTCTTCTTTCTGCTACTAAATATTCATGATAAATATTAGGAACAACAGCAGCTAAATTAAGATATCCATCATGATCTAGTAATGCTTTATCACATGCACAAACCACTGCATCAAGCCTGGCTTGATTAGTTGTTGGATTAAATTTAATAAAAACTTGATTTCCATTATATTCAAGCTCAATGTTACAAACATATACAATTTGTTGATTTATTGAATTAGTTAATCTATGCTTAGTAATTATCTTATTGATGTTATCATAAGCATCTTTTCCAAAACTATTGAATTGTTTATTTTGTTGAGAATTAGAAGTAATTTCATCAAGAGGTTTTTTTCTTTTAGTTTTATTGTTGTTGTTTAAAAAGCTAAAATCAACTTGTAAACAAGCATCATGTAATGGTTTAATATCAAAACCAAATACTCAAGGTCCAGAAAGTCTAGAACACTTTTTCCAACCAATCATCTAATAAAGTAAATATAAACATGAATAATATTTCAAAATGTTTAATGATATAATTTAACAAAATATTTTACAAAATACCTGAAAAATGAACTGATAGCTACTGAGGAAGTTTTTGTACTATAAGTATTCCATTCTGTACATACTTTGTTCCAACTAATTTTAAAAAATACTTTTGAAAATGATTCTTATTTAGTTTCACATCTAATACTACAATTAGCAACTTCTGTTTCAATTATATAATTATCAGGTATAGGGTATTGTACTTTATTGTATTTATTTTTTTGAGTTAATTTTGGATTGGTTGGATATAAGGTTGTGGGCGAAACCTCCTTAGTAATTGCTGAAACCATGGCAAAACTATATTAAATCTTATCAAAAATCCTGTTGAAACTATGCCGAAAGGTGAAACCTCAAAATGCGAAACTCTGCCAAAACTCTAATAAACAATTAATGTGTAACCTGCTGAAACCCTGCTGATTGATTTCTGGATGAGTTTTGGCAAGCAACCTTAGTTGGATAAGTTCCTAAAGAAATAACATTATAATATGAATAATAACAATCATCAGGAAATTAATTTAGTGTAAACTTGTGTAAATCTTACGATGCCGATGTAATATTGTGTAAATCTTACAGTGCCGACATAAGTTTTACACTTTTTTATTATTAAACTTACAATTGACATGTGTAAAATTTTTTTATATTTTCCGGATGATTTCCATTTGACTCATAACGTGCTTCAATTATTGAACTGTTTGGATAGTTGTGAACAAAAATCCTACTAGAAAAATTATCTAATAATTAAATATCAATTAATATATTATAGTAGAAATTTGTTCTAAATATTTGTATAAATTTAAACTTATAAAATACCTTCTATATTATCTCCATTTTGAATTACTATAATAATAAAAATTGACTTTTCATTAAAAAACTTATTAAAAAAATATTTCAAATATATATATAAATAAATTCCTAATATTTATATAAATTTAAACTTATAAAATACCTTCTGTATTATCTCCATTTTGAATTACTATGATAATAAAAATTGACTTTTCATTAAAAAACTTATTAAAAAAATATTTCAAATATTTATATAAATAAATTCCTAATATTTATATAAATTTAAACTTATAAAATACCTTCTGTATTATCTCCATTTTGAATTACTATAATAATAAAAATTGACTTTTCATTAAAAAACTTACACATATAAAGTAAATTATGCGGGATGTAGATCTTTACTATCCCTATTTTTGTTCACTAAACAATTTCCATTTATAGAAACAAGGTTTAAGGAATGAGGGATAAAAAATCTATAGTGCAGGACATCTATAACGGTCAATGATTATCACATGATTTTAAAAGCTTATAACTCCTTATTAAAAAAATTAAAAAAAAAAATAAACCGATAAAATTAAAGCTAAAGACCTAAGCTTCATTTCCATCGGTTTACTTTTTCATTTTATTAGAAAAGTTTTGAGTTATAAGGCTTGAAAGTTAGAACATTTTATATATGTCTATATGTAAATTGTAAAATTTCGGAATGATATTCCCTTGTGGTTTCCTAAAAGGTTGATGATCGGCTTAAAAATTTTCCGTGATACAGACAATCTTTCCAATAAAAGGAATATGATTACTTAAATTAGAAAGATCTTCTAAAATTTTAAGTTTCGGACTATTGACCATTATAGATGTCCTGCACTGTATGATTGATTTTATTTAAAAAAAAGTCATAAAAGTTTTGTTTTACCATGTTTCCCAAATTAAGAATATTTTGTTCGCAAATATATACTTGAAAATTTTTTTTGCAAATTTTGGTGCAATAAAATTCTGTAGATAAATAGTAGTGGCAGAATGAGCAGAATGCAAAAAAGATGAGCAACCAAAAAATTTTTTTCACTTAATATAAAACTTTTTTAAGAGAGTATAAAAAGTACAAAACATGTTTTCATAATATAAATACCATATTTAATAAAATCAAGGAAGTTTTTTTCACAAATTTTGTTTGATTGGTTAAAGACTTGTACTAGTCACAAGTATACATGAAGTCGAAATTAAAACTCTAAAGTCGAAATGCTTTGACTCGAGGCAACTACATATATAGTAAAAATCAGTTTCAACCTTATTTCAACCCTATTTTGACCAGATCTGCAAATGGTCAAAATAGTTTCAACTTCATGTATAGTCACAAGTTTTTTGAATTCTTAAAAAATTTAAAATCCTGCGATCGGCACTAATTAACATATGTGTAACTTTATTGCATGGAGCCTACCCTTAAAAGAATATTTCAAAGAATTTATTATACATATAAATAAATACTTAATATTCATATAAATTTAAACTTATAAAATACCTTTTGCATTATCTCCATTTTGAATTACTATAATAATAAAAATTGACTTTTTGTTAAAAAACTTATTAAAAGAATATTTCAAAGAATTTATTATACATATAAATAAATACCTTCTAAATCAGTTGCATCTTGAGTTACCATTATATGTCTATTTGAAAATATGCTTTGATTGGCTTCAGCCATTTCAAAACCTTATCATTATAATCATGTATAAGTAAATTTCAGTTATGTAAATGAAAACGAGTTATGTTGATACTTACTCAACTGATTTCAAAACTTATTCTAAACTGATTCTGAGCATATTTTCAAGCAAGAAATTTAGATAAAATCATGTTTATTATTGGATGAATTTTGATTCTATACAAATATTGATCTGTGCTGCAGATCAAATCCATTGTTATCACCAAAATTTAATTAGTGAAATGAGTCAGATTAGCCCATATGGCTCTATAATGAACTCCCATGTAACATAAACAAGCATAGTGGAAATTTGGAATGTTACACAAATTTTTTATATTGTGCAATGTAACTTTAAAATACCCAGCAAACATTCTGGCAATAAAAAGTAACAACTATATATATACTGGAAAAGTTTCAAGAGCAACGGGTTCTGCATAACATTGTGTAACAAAGAACTTCCACTATGCTAAATAAACATTTATTAATTATTTTAACAAAAATTTTTATTGGCCAATAAATTATTCAAAACACAATCACGTGATCATAAAATGAGATGATCATCAATTCTTTATAGTGAACACTCTCTATAACGAACCAAAATTCTCAGTCCAGGGGTTCATTATAGAGAGCTTTGACTGTATATATATAATACCACTTTGCAAGCTTAATAGATCTTGCTTTTAACACTTCAATCAACTGCTATATAACTATAAATAATTGATAAAACATTCATCAAGTATAACAATTTAGAAGGACTTTTATTTACATATTTAATAAATAATATTAATAATATGCACAGATTATACTTGTAAAAACCAAGGTTTGATTGTTATATATTCATTCTCATTAATTCTAATGTATATAAGATCTAGATGGTCGTGTAACAATTTTATATATTGATAGATAAGATAATATTAATAAGCACAGATTATACTTGTAAAAACCAAGGTTTGTTTGTTATATTCACTCTCATTAATTCTGATGTATATAAGGTCTAGGAACAGGAGAGAACGTCCTATATAAGGAATGGATTTTCACAATTGATTTCAATTTTTTTTATACAGTTTAAAATACT